GCACCTAGCTCTATGCTTGGGTTACCAGAGAAAAGGGATCCCTGGCTTTTGACAGGATTAAGCCGAAACGTGCTTAATGTTTTCCAAATCTCTTACATGACCATTGCCAGCTGGATAGCAAAGCTACAGAAAAGGGCTGTAGCACAGGTATTTCACATGTGACTGATATTACACGCCTGGTGGCGCAGAGTGCCATGATAGATAACACCAGTAGGCGTCAATTCGCCAGGTCTCTGGCACCAACAGGTAAAGCCTGGTCTGCCAATTTTAATGCAATCTGCAAAACATACAGATGAATGGGATAGCTTGCGATGGTGGTAGGACAGCAGCAGCCGTCGTGCCGTCGTCTCGGCGCCTGTCGCCCAACCATCCGCGATGATTACTCGCTCGTCATCTGCCGCTCCACCGGTCCGCACGTCGCACATCCGCTGCCGCTCCGCCGGTTCGCACAGCATAGCATACATCTGCTGCCGCTCCGCCGGTCCGCACATCACATATCCGCTGCCGCTTCGCCGATTCGCACAGCATAGCATGCATCTGCTGCCGCTCCGCCGGTCCGCACGTCGCACATCCGCTGCCGCTCCGCCGGTCCGCACATCACACATCCGCTGCCGCTCCGCCGGTCCGCACATCACACATCCGCTGCCGCTCCGCCGGTCCGCACGTCGCACATCCGCTGCCGCTCCGCCGGTCCGCACATCACACATCCGCTGCCGCTCCACCGCCCCGCACGTCACACATCAAATTACGCGCACCTGCTATCTTCTGACATAAGATGCCATCTGGAATGGCATGTCTCGTACAACAGACTCACAGCGGCCAGCGCCCTCAGGGGCCTCTCTGGTAGACAGTTGCACACTCGTCTTATGCGGCATTGATGGAGACGGTAGGTCTCGCTGCTCTGAGGGCCCGGAGTCCGGCAAGCCCCCCCCCCCCCCCCGCCTTTAGAGGCCCTCAGCTCCCCTCCAGCGTCGTACACTGACTCCGAGGCTTCGCAGACAACGGGTCACTGAGGGCCCGGAGTCCGGCAAACTCTCCCCCCCCCCCCCCCTTTAAAGGCTCTCAGCCCCCTCCAGCGTCGTACACTGACTCCGAGGCTCTGCAGGCAACGGATCTCTGATTTGAATAACCTTCCCGCATTGGTTTGGCTCACGAGCAAACATGAAATATCCACGTACCCGTTTGTACTCGATGCGAGTTTCTTTTTCACTGCCTCTCCAAACAATGTAGCCTCTCCGGCGCTGTTTTCATGTTAGCGACATTAGGCATAGGCAGGAACCTAACCTAGTACCAATCCGAAATGTGCGACAAGTGGGATACGCGAGAGCAAACCACATGATTTATCATCAGGTCAGTAAATATGGCCGTACAATTTAATGTCAGAGAAGTTTTCCTTCACCATCATATTCCTATCCATCATTTCACATTTACAGATCTGTATTGTCTTGCAAATGTAAAATGGCGCAAGGGAACATGATGACAAAACAAAACGCTTCCAGAGTAAAGTTAGGCAGCAGTTTAGCTAGCCTGAAAGACAAGCGACGAGCGTTGTCCTTGGTTCATTGCATATTTCGTGCAGATCCTATTTGGTAGCAATTAGCCAATGACGCTGGCGAAAAAGACGTTGTTACGGGATTCCAAATATCCCTCCCCCTCTGAAAACATAAGCATAAGGAGTGTTTCCAACATTCGCATGGGGTTTTAAACCGAACTGCCATCTTAAGCATAATTCGGCGCAGCTCACAGTGATGCCCTTTTCAAGACCTAAGCCGACCGTCAATGGCTCTTAATCTCCGTTGTGCATGGCACCATGACGTCATCTCAATGCCGTATTGGGAGCCCTATGTACTGAACAGAAAAAATCACATTGCCTAGGGCAGCCTTAACAACTTAAAAGGATATCACTGTTTGTAAGTGAGCTTGTTTCATCACAACTGATGCGTGCCTCAATATCTTTAAATGTGAAACATTTACTGTAACATACGTCGTGCATCATTGAGATGCTAACAAACGTTATGTGGCTGAAGGTCATGCTGTATCGACGCCAGCAATGCTGGTTCTTCGTGCAACAAAGCAAACATAAATTATAGCTTATTCCCATGCGCTCAATCTTTCGAGTGCACAAAATAGAATTGCAGAGGCGATGTGTCCAGGTGATCTGTAAGTGTTAACACGCGCTCGGGTGGGGTGCCAAATTGTCCCCCCCCCGAAGGTTTTTCCAGAATGGTTTCCGGTGTAGAACGGTACTGGTGTAGCCACGCCAAATTTTGCATAGCTATACAGAATTAAATAGCGGATCGTTTGACATCACAAAAGTCGATGTACCTTGTAAGGTCGCTGACTTATGGCAGGTCAAAGTCAGGCCATGGTTTCAGCGGAGCCAATTTCTTGGGAATCGTTCAACTGATACAACAACGGAGTGTTTGACGAAGTCATACATCTCTGAAATGCTTTCTTAGGCACCACAGATATTGACTGAGCAAATTTGGTTGACCTAATGTAAGGTATAAAGATCACACCAAGGTCAAAACCAAACTGATTCAGTACTCTAGGGCTTGCTGTATGGCATAGTTTCTGGTGCTCATTTCGAATTTATTGACGGCAGGAACCGCATTACACATCTTCCATTGACTTCTTAGAGGTCAGTACAGGTCATTGACGTAAGATGACCCGGGTCGACATTTTGTTCTAGGAACATACTGCCTAGCGTAATCTTTGTCGCTTATTCAAACGCAAAACTCAAAGCAGTTTTGTATGTTTTTGGTAACCATGACCTTCAAAAGGTCTAAAAGGTCACTGAACTCTAATGGGCTCTTGCCCTTTTGCTTAGAAACAGTTGCTTAGGTTCTGGGGGCACTTTGGGGACAAACCCGAAATTTGATTTTTCTGACCTTATTTGACCTGAAGGTCATAACCTGAAAGATTCAAACTTTGGCCTGAGTGAGTTCACCTACAGGTCAAGACATCCTGTGAATTTTGAAGTTTTTAGCTTTCTTAGTTTTCAGAGATCTCGGGGTCAAATTGCCCGCCCCCCCCCCCGCCCCAACCGAGCGAAGGGTACCTAGCCGGGCGCCCGGGCACGTGTTAAACAACTCACAGATGCCAGCTCGGGGACGCAGCAAAGAAGGGCCACGAGCCTTGCCCTCCAACCCACTAGGGCACTCAACGGATTAAATCAATCTACGGATTGTATATCCATCCGCTGGCTGGATGGGACAGGACCATAAATTTCGACCAAAACATGGATTAGGACCGGACTAGATTTTCAAATTGCCAGGTCTCACGGATTGAGCAGATTGAAAACAAATGAAATGAACATCACTTAAATGATCAATGAAGACCTTAACTCAGAAAGGAAAACATTCGAATCAATGAAATACAGTAGTTTTAATTTGAAGCAATACATAAACAGGCCGCGCAGTATATGGCTCAGATACTTGCTCCACAGGCAACTTGTTTGATGAACAAACCACATTGACAACTTGATACGAATAAGTGACGTTCATATATGCTCGTATGGAAAGTTAGAGGTCGCATTTGCCCAAAGCTTACTGAAATGTCTAGTGATGTAATAACCTGTTTCATCACAACACAGCTACCATTCATTCTGATCTTGTCAGCAAGCCCATTTAACCCCATGTGCGACACTACATTTCAGAGTTGAAAAACTGGTCAGGAGCCTGTTTTCTTGGTAGAACACCACCCTTCTGAAAAGTCAGCTACAATCCGAGAAAATGAAACAAAAGTGAACTCCATGGCGACACTACAGTTTTGGTTTATCCACTCAGTCAGCAAAATGTATGAGTTTAACACAAGCATCAAATTAAGTGTATCGCTTCACCTGATCCACTTCCAGGTGCGCGCCAAAACAAGGATAGTTTCGCTATGATATATCATTTTTTATCCACTCCCCTTCCCCAACTAAGATATCACAAAGAATGGGAATGTTTTTAATCTACAGACATGAACCAAACGTAGCTTTCTCACCCAGTAGTAATTACCCGCTTGATGTGAATTTGATACTGTCTGCATGCATCCCAAATATTTGACGGTGGCTCTGTGCTTATTGGCTTATATTCTATCTATTCTAGTCCTACTGGTGCAAACCACTGCTTAAATTGGATGTCAGCAATGTATTGGCGTGGTTATGATTCTCCTTTGTTAAAAAACGAGGTCCAAAGCAATTTATATATATATATATATATACACACATATATATATATATATATATATATATATATATATATATATGTATATATATATGTATATGCACACACACACACACACATATATATATATATATATATATATATATATATATATATATATATATATATATATATGTGTGTGTGTGTGTGTGTGTGTGTGTGTGTGTGTGTGTGTGTGTGTGTGTGTGTGTGTGTACTTGTCTTTGCGGCGAAGTCGGGACAAACGCCCGCTAAACGTACGCCAAGTGGGGACCGTTCCGAAGTCGGGACCGAAAAATCGGTCCCCACTTTGTTGACCATTGGGTGATGCTTCTCAACTCATCAGACGACGCTCCTATCAATCTCAGACCGGTCCCCAGGAAGTGGGGTTTAATCAACTTGTGTTTATCCGCTGGTCACGTGACCACCCCTCGCTTTACACAAATCCGCCGGCCGCTACGGGAAGATTCCCGCGGAAATGTGCGACGTCATTGTGTAGCGCGCGCTAATTGGCTGAACGCAGTAGTATCAACCAATCAGGAGCCGTAATCATGTGATGGACAAAGCAATGTTTGGTTATGTTGTAAGTATCATTTGTAAAGATGGCATACTTCGATTTTTTCATAATAATTTAAATTAAGATCGAAGGAACTTTATTTAGAAGGTCATATTCTGTTCCTTGGTTGTTAAAAAACCATTCGCTGGCCGGTGCTGCTATCAGACAGATTATGTAAGTACCAGATCAGTTACCTTGCCTGGTGCCGTTCGTTCAAGGCCATCCCTATTCCCACGAACCGACTTCCGCGTTATCGCGACCGGTACGGGAAGGAAGTGCGATTAAGAAATAGCGATCCGTGGAGTGAGGAACCGGTTGACAAACTCTAGGTGAGTATGAATTCATATTTGTTGTAAGAAACGAGGCTCGCACAGTTTATATAACAGAAGAGGTGGCTCTTTTGTAGGTTATGTGGCAAGCCAGCAGTTTGGTTGTGAAGCGATTAGTCGCAGCTTCTGTCGTCATTGCAATTCAATAGGCATAGATTATAGTAAGCTCATTGAATCCATGCACAGGCAGATCCAAAAGTTTGTTTATGGGTTATCAGCAGTCTGGGGGACAGTGTATCAATACTGCATGGTTTTTGAAACTCAGATTTTGGTGATTATGCCTCTCTAGCCAAGTTAAAATGGTATTGGTATAGATGTGTACCTTTTTCTGATTTATCTTTAACTTTAATATGTTACTCATGTTATTCTGTCATGGTTAACATTACTATGATGATCAATTTGATTGTAAACCAATTATTAAGTTATTTTCCCATACCCCATCTGATATGAGAAAGCAGTGCTACGTTGTGCCATGTTTGGTTAGATTGTGTATTGTTTGGTTTGAGTTGTTAGATGAGGTTAGGTTAAAAATGCCCAAAGTAATTGTCAAACCCACTTTTCTTTGAAAATGGAGAAGGGTGTGGGGTATTCTCCAGGACTTTTGCCGCTAATGCAAACACTGAAATTTCTTAAATTTTCTCCTATTCATAAACGTGTGCCAATTTTGCACCAATTTCAGTCATTTTTCTCAAGCACAGACTGTCCCCCTTGGGGTCCACAAGTGGGTATTTTAAATGGAATATGGCTGTGTCTTTGAATATACACATGCTATTAAATAAAGACTCATGTTTATTACTTCAGGGGTTGACGGAATCACCTCCTCCCCCTTGCATGCACCAGTTTCCCATTATTAAAGCAACTAAATAGTGTCTGTGTCAATACCAAAAATTAGCTGCACCTTTGTGGCCCCTTGTCTGTGTAATTCATAATCACTAACAATCATTGTGGACATTACTTGCTATTGCAGCATCAAGTCTGTGACAGGTTAAAGTGTCCATATACAGTGTGATTTCATATTCCTATTGAGCCAGTAAGAAAGCTTGAAGAAATTAATTAACCTTCAACATGGGGAATAGAACTGAGATAGTCACCTTGTAGACAGTGCTAGCCCCCCACCCTGCTGCTCTAGTTGAAAGCACTTTCCAGCCAAAGAGCTTTGAACTTGAGAACTTGAAATGAAGTTCACATGAAAGAGTGCAGGGAAATTGTGCTTATAGGCCCATCAGCAGACACTACATAATCAGCCAATCCTGGGCAGAATAACAGCCTATTAGCTCATCAGCCAATCAAATTGATGCTTCTCCACCACTTTCAGCATTGATTGGATGAGCCACAGTGTTGGAACTTGGATCATTTTCTGCTCTCTAAGAGGACCAAAAGATTTTGCTCCCTTCAAAAAATTACCTTTTTTGGTGAAGTTAAGATATGTGTTAAGAATATTTCTTAGGGTGAACTATTTCCTTTTAAGGGAACAAAGTTGCCTGATTTGTTAGCAAGATTTATCTAACATGTGCACACATGTCTGACATTTTATTGTGAAAATCAGTCTCTGCGAGGTCGTGTTCCTTTTTTTAAACCTCTGAAATGGGGTATTTTGTTTTTGCATTTTAGTTGTTCTGGTATTGCTTTAAAAACACTTCTTCAGAAATAAAAGGAACTATATCATATTACCCATTAAGATAATTGTATATGAATATGGAACCAGATAGGAGTGACTGAAATGCTTGTTCAATTTTCACTGCTAAATATGCTGCAACTGTGGGATCCTAATGGATCTTGGATCTGTAGGAGGTGTATTGCCTTGGGATTCTGTGAATGTATTTGCATGAGATCCTGTGCATCTTGTGTCTTGAAATTTTGGTTTGTAGTAGCATCTTGCATATCCCAGATCCCGATTTTTGCCACCGCACAAGTCTGGTGGGAACTCAGAGGGTCCCTTGAAATTGCAGTGTTCTTTGTGTTCCAGAACCATGCGACGGAGGAAATTCTTTTTTACTCGTGTACAGAAGAGGAAACGCAATTATCAGGTAAGGCTAGTGGGGTCAACAAACATATTTGACCTGCAAAGGTTGTACTGTTTCATGCCACTTCAGGTCGCTATATAACCAATTACAGTAGGCGAAGGCTATCCCTTACATAGCTCTCAGTTTCAGACCCAATTGGGAGTATATCCCCTCGCTTAGATGAGTGTCAAAAATTGATTCAACCAGCTTAGTTCTTGAATCAGTTCCTTGCTGCCAGTGGAGGAACATTTCAAAAGATGTATAGGTACGACTTTCGTGGAACTGTACAAATCTGACTGGAACGTGATGGTTTCCAGCCGCGCGCTTGGCACCCTGCATGAGAGGCGGTGGAACAAGGTTGAAAAACTGCCAAAAAATGACGATGCACTGCGCCTGCAACTGGAAATAGACGGTGCCATGGAGAAAGTGAGGGATAGCTTGCAAGAAACGACCAGTCTGGTCAACTGCGACAAGCTGGCTCAAGCTGCGCTCACTTCGCTGATCTTGTTTAATCGGCGGAGGCCTGGTGAAACAGAACGACTGACGGTGGATGATTATCGGGCGAAAACCTACGAAGTTAATAAGGATATTACTGATGATTTGTCTGTGCTCGAACGCGAACTATGTACAACCCTAGGTCACGTAAAGATACGCAGAAAGCGAGGAAGAGAGGTCCCAATGCTCCTGAAAGGCAGGATAACCGAGGTCCTTGACCTTCTGGTTGCCTCCAGAGAGGCTTCTGGCATTCATGAAAGCAGTCCGTACGTTTTCACTGGTGATGCAGCCAAGGACGCCCGGCCACTGAGTGGGAGCAAGTGTATTTCTCAGTTTGCTGAGCGTGCAGAAGTTGTGAATGTGACAGCTACATCTATGCGAAAGCATATCGCAACAATGATACAACTTTTGCATTTGAGCGAAATGGAACTGGACGTTGTCGCGAGGTTCATGGGACATGACACCAGGGCTCATCGGGAATATTACCGCTTGCCCGAGCGGACGGTGTATGGCGCTTAAGTCAGCGAGCTGCTCCTGGCAATGAAGAAGCCTGGCAGTGCATACGTTGGTAAGGCGTTGGAAAAACTCGACCCCTGCACAAGTGATGAAGACAAGAGCGTGGTTGAAGACCTAGGTGAGAGCTACGACAATGAGGCGAAAGGACCAAAACGACAAATGGAAGAAAGTGAAGAGGAAAAAGGAAAACGTAAACGGCAGAAGACAGAATGTGATGTGATGCCTGAAAGTGGTGGACGTGATGATCAGGGCTCACCTTCCACTAGACATTCCACTAACCGCCTTCCTGTCCCCGAGAGAAAGATACGAAAGATCTCATGGACCGTTCGTGAAATGCAAGCAATTGAAAGTCAGATGTCCAGGTCTATGAGCGACTTGACCTGTCCCGGTATGGCCGATTGCATCGCCGCTTTGCACGCCGAGCCAGATTTGTGTCGTCGCTCCTGGACCGACGTGAAGTACTGTGCATATAACCTCGTCGTAAAACATAGGCGTAGCCTGAATCTGTGAGACTAGTTTCACCATGCTGCAGCAATATGCAAACGGTCAAGGGCAGCCACCCGTTGAGGCCGTTCTTTGACCTGTGCTCAAGGTTTTCCCAACTGCATTGTTCAGATCAGACTAGACCAACTTAAGCGTTGGTGGCATGTGGAAAAGTTCTTGACACAAGCTGTCTTGTGTTGGTGAACTCGAGAGCCGCTACGTAATATACCAGTATATTACCAGCATGCTCACGTTTTTCTCGATACCTGGGCCACACGGATTTGTGCTTCAATGTGAATAATGGAAGTGAGCGCAGCACGGGCCAATATAACTATAACATTCAAATAGCAATTTAAATTTGCACTGCGCTAGTTTCGAAGCGAGGTAGTTTGCGTTGGTTATGCTGTTTTCTCAATGCCTTCTACAGCACCATGAAATGTGAAACATAATATTGAATCATCTGGCTATAAATGAAGCAGCGCTCATTTTTGGTGTTCAGGGATATTCACTGAAAACTAGATATCCAAATACATTTAAGTTAGTAGAACTTTAATGTTGAATGACAGAGTAAAGAGAGTTCATTGCATTCTTCTGCGGCACGCGATGTGAAAGAGCAAACGCCCCGCGCATGTAACATCGTTTTAAAATAGTCGTAGTACGGACATTTAAAATGTCTGTTTGAATACCATAGTTGTCTGTACCCATTGTAAACATGACCATGTCGTGTATACCTTCATCTTCTCTGGAGCAAGCGTATTGTGAAGTATGCGTCGTTTAACGCGCTCACCGATACTGGAAAATGCATGTTTCGCTGTCTGACATTTTTGAATGTATAATTTTTTTCTGGACACTGCAACAGAAAAATGACCCTGGGCGCGGCGTACGATACTACATTATTGTGCTCCGTTTATCGTAAGAAAGAACGGAATTAAAGTGCTGCCAACGATTTTGCACGGTTTTTTGCGCGTGGGTCATTATTCGAGTGTGCTGTAGCCCCAAAATTACCGGTGTCATGACCGGCGTCATTTTGGTGTTGCCGTAATGTTTTACGCGGTGAAAAGTTGTTATATTGTTTTACCTGTATATTTCATTGTATTTTTATATCTTTGATATGTTTTAGTACCTACTTACCAATGAATGAAAAATCTAATCTAGCGTCTGGAAGGATTCGCGGGGCACAAAGCAGGGAAATTGTTTATAATGTGTATCAACATTTTGTCGAAGACTGGGACATGAAGTTGAAGGCGGGAGACGACGACGCCGTCCGGGAGAGTCCATTATCAAGAACTGCAGCTGTAACGGGCGTTGGGAAGACTACAGTCTACCGCATACAACGTGAAGCCCAGAATGGTGCCAGACTGAAATCTCCAAGCCGATCCCGACCAGCTGCAGCAAGACCAAGGGTGGATCTAGATCCATTCGATGTTTGCGCGATGATGAGAATGGTGCACCAAATGTACATCGATGGAAAACATGTTACTCTGGATACCATCAAGGATGCTCTTCACGAACAGCTCGGCGTCACCATGTCTAGATCCACCGCAAGAAAACACCTACTCGCGAACGGATTTAAGTACGGAAGGATCGACAAGTGCGAGATCCTGATCGAGAAACCTCGTATTGCAGCAACGAGATGTCAGTTCTTGCGGGAGATGAGGAGGCTGCGTAGAGAAGTTCCCGATAGCAAAATCATTTACACCGACGAGACATGGTATAATCAGTACGATATGGAGGACTTGCGTGGCTGGACGGCAATCAAATTAACGGACGGAAGAACGCCATTGGAAAAGGAGCACGTTTTATCATCGTCCAAGCCGGCTCTTCAGAAGGATTTATACCGGGCGCACTTCTCCACCTCAGGACCGATGGCAAGAACGCCAACTATCATACGTCGATGCACGCCGACTGCTACGCTACGAGAACTGCTACGAGAAGTGGTTCACCGAGTGTCTGCTTCCGAACGTGCCCGAGCACTCTGTGATCATCACAGATAATGCCTGATATCACTCCCGTTTGTGCCCAAAAGTGCCAACTTCTAGCTGGCGTAAAGCGGAAATCCAGGAGTGGTTGAAGCAGGCAGGTGTGACCATCCACGAAGAGATGCGGAAGGTGGAGCTGCTGGAGCTAGTCAAGTCCCAGAACCGGAAGAAGGAATATCTTCTGGACAACCTTGCTAGAGATCATGGTCATCGGATCGTTCGCCTGCCGCCGTATCACTGCGACTTGAACCCGATGGAGTTAGTGTGGGCACAGATGAAGCGCGTGATAAGACGAGGGAACTTGACGGGGCGGATGGAGGAGGTGGAACGGCTGGTGGAGGCAGGTGTTGCAGCTGTCTCTCCAGAGGACTGGAGTAAGTGCTGTGGGCACGTCAAAAGGCTGGAGCAGCAGTACTGGACGAATGACGCTGCTAGAAGATCTCCCACCGGTTGTCGTAACAACCGATGATAGCAGCGACTCCGGCACCGACTGTGGCAGCGACAACGATGAATGAGAACAGTATGACACATCGATCATGACAAGTGTTTCCGTTTCGTTCTTTTCAACTGACTTCGTAGCGTTTACGTGGATGTGGCATGTAGTTACGTGTGGGGTGTTTGAGCTGGATGTATTGTACATATATCTGCAGCTGAATACTCAGCGTTTTGTGGAATACCTTCAATAAAACTGAGCGAATTAATTTTCTGTGTTTGGGATTTTCCCATGTTATTCATGTAACAGCACCAGTTTGGAGCAATTACCGAATGAAAGCATAGCATAACTTGCTTCAAAGGTAGGCAATGAATTTAGAACGTAAAAATAATTGCCAACGAAAATAACCCCAGTGCCAATATATATACATATATATATATATATATATATATATATATATATATATATATATATATATATATATATATATATAAATCGATCAACCATATGAACATGAAGTTGCCGCAAGCAATGCAAACATCCAAAACTGCTATTGCTTCGAGAGATCCGCAGTGCTGTCCTGCAGGCCTTCCGACCAATTTTGAGTTTGAAAAAGATTCAGCGTGATGCTCGTGACGAATTGATTGACCAGCTTTAATTCCGTTCTTTCTTACGATAAGCAGAGCATAGTAGTGCTCCCAGGGCCTCGTTTGTCTTCTCCCAATGCTTGTCAGTTTTGGTTTGGATTAATAACAAAAGCTGGGTGGTTCAATGCTATGAATGTATAACTCAGATTCGGAAACCCCCAGAGAGAATCGCGACGACGGTGTAACTGGCTGAGTACCCCAGCGCGGCACGGGGTGCAAGGTTAAGCCATCGATATATATCACACCGCTAAATGATAAAAACTATAAGATGTCGGATACACCAAGCAAAATAGGAGCCGGTCCCTACATTGCGGTTTGTGTAAACCGTGACGTCATTGTGACGTCATGCCAATCGGTCCCTACTTCACTGCATTACACGGGTTCGTTTCCGTCGTGCGCAGCCCTTTAATATGTTTGCCATCGCAACCTACTCGTCTCCCGGGTATCAATGAACTTATTCCCATCGTCCTGCGACCAATGTAAAGGGGCGTCGAACCGGTCCTCGCTTCGCCGCATTTCGATGGGGTCCCGACTTCGCCCCGCAAACCCGTATAGGTGTGTGTGTGTGTGTGTGTGTGTGTGTGTGTGTGTGTGTGTGTGTGTGTGTGTGTGTGTGTGTGTGTGTGTGTGTGTGCACGTGCACGTGTGTGTGCACGTGCACGTGTGTGTGCACGTGCACGTGTGTCAACTTAAAACATTAAAACAAAAACATCCACAACGGCTCGCAAAGATCATACACGTACATGCATATGGCATGCAGTCATACAGGCACCCAGCATGGGCTTAACCCGGCAGTGACCGGGCCCCTAAGCGGCACATTATTGGCCGGTGGGGGACAGATTCGACCCCCGTCCCCTGGTAATCTGAAAAACGGCCAAGCCGAATAAAAATCTGAA